CATAATTGAAAGTGTCAGGTCTGACCGAGGATTTTTATTACTAAATAAATCATACCCGCTGAAGGCATTTGGAAGTTAGTACTTGGCAGTAAGTAAGGTTAATAAGGGTACTTCTACACGGTGCAAGCAGCTGGAGCAGGCAGAGAGGCGGGTTATTTGCTTCAGTAGCATACATGAGTTTTTTGCACGTTTGGTTTATGGTTTATGGTGGGTTACATGCTCGAGTTGCTGGCCCTGCATAATCCTTTTCGCGAAGGAAATAACGTTGCGTTAAACCGGTTTCTGTCAGTCGCACAGTTGCCCATATCTGTACCTGCGCAAATAACCTTCGCGAATTGGTCGAGCGCACCGCGGAGCGTGCGGTTTACCTGCGCAGGTGGGTCGCGCTTTTTTTTAACGTGTGGAAACCCCCTCGGGCCGTCACCCCACCGGGGTTTTGCGGCGGAGTGGTGTGTTGGAATCGGACCGACTAAAACCACACGGTGTGCCACTCTGCGCCTCTGATAGGAGGGATCCGGAAACTGCTGATATTAAGACATCCGGACCCCTCCTAACGCCTTCCCGTAACGGCGCGGGCACCACCTCCGGGTAAATTCATTGTAATTTTCAAATAGGTAAACTGCTTACACAATATAAACAGCGATTGCCAGGTAAAATTAAATTTAAACGTAACTATGGACTCTAAAACTATTCTTATGAATAGACCTTAGACATATAAGACACTTAATGGTAAGGCAATTTTTCTTAGTACCGCTCCGGTTGTTATCAATAAATGATTATCATAAAGTTAGGTTCATTTATTAAAAGACTACTTACTCAAAGGATATTGCAGTTTATTCATATTTAAACTCGAAATGTTGAGCTCTGTCAGGACGATTATTCAATCAACAAAATCGAATGCACTTCGCTCCTATAGTCATCGCACCGAGCTAACCGAGCCAACCCAATTTACAAGTTTGAAAAAACTTGTCAAGATAGCGACTGTTTAGTGATAGATCCCAATGACCCCTACCCTTCGTTTAGGCTATTCATCACATCTCTGATCACACATCACATCGAAAGCCTTTAATAGCCCACTGCTGGACATAGGCCTCTCCTCAGAAAGGAGGTTTTGGCCTACTGTACCACGCTGACAAGACAAGGTTGGTATAGCGTTTGCTTCAAGTTTTCCTTCTCTTTGCAGTGCTATTATCCTGCGAAGTTTGCTCCCTTACTGGACTCTTACGACACCCACGGGATTAATAGGGGTCTTGACACTCCATATTCCTAAGCCGTCACTACACGTAAGCCATTCATGCTTCAATATAATGATTGTAGGAACACTAAACTTATACTACTGATAAATCTTCATTATCCCTTACAAAGAATGCAAAAATACATCCATTATTTTTTTAAACGCATGAATGTCTTTTCTTTAGTTATATGATACGTTTGTTTATTGTTTTTTTATAAAATTTCAAAAGGATGTAATTTAAAACTGCTATGAGTAGGTAAGTATAGTAATATTATATTATTAATAAATTCTTAAATTAGTAATATTACTGTCAGTCAGTCAGTGAGTTTTGTCGGTATTTGCCGAGAAAATGGTGTTTGTCTTTTGTATAATTATTTTCCAACTTTGCTTTAAATAGTTCCAGCTTAGATTATAACATTCATACAATTACATAAAATTGTTTGTGATGAAATAAACAGATTCTTAAAACAAATAAAACGCAAAAATGTACCTACAGAATTCTACTGATTTCTAGTAAATACTAGACTTGGGTTTCTTTTAAAACAAAAACTTTAAACTAAATTTTCTTTAATCTTGTACAATGACGCCGTCTTTCATAAATATTGCCCGTGTTATGTATTGTTATCATAAATTTTTTCATTTCTTATTATTAAAAATTATTATCTGCCAATTGCGTGTAAGTTAATGTGAAAGTATTTTTTTTTTTTTTTTATAGTATATATAGTGTATAATATATTTTCTGTAAATATAGGAGACCACAAGAAGTAGAGAGCTATAAGCCATACTTATAGTTTTAGACTTGCTAGGTAATACGATAATATAATTTACGACTCCCCTATTATCAAATACTTAGTAGGTCCTCAGGGAACCTCTGCAGACCGAGCATACAGTTACGAACTCGAGTTGTTCTGCATGTCGATAACTCTGAATAAAGTATTCTATTAAAGATTGAATCTATAATTTATGATTGACGTTTCATTGATAGAAAAAAAAGTTACATTTCAAGTCAATCACTTGATGTTACTAATGGACTTGGTAATGTCTAAAAACTAACACAAATTGTATACTCTGTGTACATTTTACATGCATATGGGTCCATATTCTTAGAATCCCACAATATGATTGACCGATAATTTTAAGAGGTTCGTTAATCAGTACCTACAGATTACATTCGCATCCCATATTATCCCATATTATTGGTGAATTAATGAAAGAAAGTCCGTGGACAACTTTTGCAAATTTTGTTTTCTCAAAAGTTATGTTTTAGCTGTTAACTAAGTACAGTTGACAGCAAAAACATAACTTTAAGGTGTCATATCTAATTAAATAAAAGTGATAGAATAAAACTTGTGATTAACATTTAATCTTTTCTTAATATAGATGCGAAGCTATATTTTTTTTAGGTCAAAGGTGATCAGTTCTAGCAATATAGTGATAAAACTATTTTTAAAACCGTTTCTTTCTTTGTAACCACCGATGCATTGAGTTGACCACCCTGTTGCCGTCAATGGACTAAAACACAATTGTACTAAAAGTCAATCATCATCATCAATAATTCTTTGATTGGACCAGTTCATTCATAGCTTCGCTATGGTGAACCGATGATAGCAACTAGGTACTTAATTAAAATATTTTTTCTATTCAATAAGGGAACAAAATTAGAAAAAATGCCAACAACCAACTAAAACACAGGTCTTATTGAGTAATAAAAAATATTATCATTGATTAAAAAAAGTATTACAATACCTACTTACATAGATTTTTCCGTTGCACGATTTTTATATTGCCGTACTGAGATTTGAAAAGCGTAACTTAACTTAACAGTAGTTTTGACTTAGACTCTAATGCAGTATGTAGATGAGTGATGTGGTGTGGTCCATAATTCTTAAGCGTCTGTAACGAACAGTTTCTGCAAAGACGTCGTTTTCGAATTCTGAGAATACAACTATATTATTTGGTTGTCATCCCTCCATTGAGTGGGTTGGATATTTTTGGGTGCTCACTTTTCATTTTGTGACCATTTCGTGACCAAGGCTTAAGATAAGCTTCGGTCACAAAGTTTTACTAATATTTTATCTTTAATTTTTCGTATATTTTGGAATGCTAATTTGACCATTATGCTATTTTATTTTTTTATTTATACTTTATTTACAAATGCGACAAAGACGGACTTAATGCCTTTTCTCCCAGTCGACCTTAGGCCATGCAGAGCTAAAAATGGTAGATGCACAGAAATTAAAATGTGATTGTTGGGGCTTCAACGTAGTAAAATAACTACTCCCAAGATTTGTACAGGGCTTTGATGTCCAAGATAACTTGTTTTTTTTTCCAATTTTTTATGTGTCGCAATGCTCACTCGTCGGAAGTGGCGAGAAGAAAAAAAATGTTGTGAGGTAGTTACAATGCATAGTGATGCGAATGACAAGAATAGCATAGACAACAACAAAAAACTATCGGTGTATACAGCGTTAACAGTGATTTTATGAAAAATATATCATAAATAGAATATCAGGTATACCCAGGGCACTTATATAAATTACATTAGACCTCAGTGATCAATATTTCCAGAACAGCAGCCATAAAAGAAACGTACGATGGGTTTACTATTTTGACATATTGTCTAGCCTTGTCTTACTTGTCTCAGAAGTCTTGCTTTAATGGCATAGTGGTTTGTGTAACGGACTGCTATTCCAAAGGTCGCCGGTTCGATTCTCGCTCAAGTCAAACATTTGTGTGCATGAACATTTAATATTTGATTTGGTCTGGGTGTTTCTATGTATAATAAGTATGTACAAAAAAAAGTATATATGTATTTATATCAGTTGTCTAGTATCCATAGTACAAGCTCTGCTTAGTTTGGGACTAGGTGGCGTTGTGTGAATATATTACTTACAATATTATTATTATTTATTTATGATATAACTAGTCAAAATAAGAACAAGTTGCAGTTTTGTCCAGATCACAAAAAAGCGATACGAATAACAAACGGCAATCAGCATGCACATAAATTAACTACTTATATCAAAATAATCCACAGCCAAGAAGTCGTAGAGATTCTACGCACCGGCTTGAACACGTCACTTTTTCTGTTAGGTAGAACTACTTTTCCTGTCAGGTAATACATATAATTATTTACACTAAGCGGAAATCGGACCCACAGAAAAGTATACTATTAGTGGAAAAATGCTATTATCATATGAAAAAAATACTAATAAAAAGATCACGATTACCACAATCAGTAACAGAAATGCGTTAGTATAGATTTTTCTTTTTATTACTTCCAAGATATTTAAATTTACCAGGATTTGCAAAGAATACACTAGATATATATTGAAACCCTGGCAGATTATGATTAGCTTAAAGAGTAATAAATGGTTTACGGCTTTATAGGCTTCCTTTTTGACATTTTCAAGTTTTGGTGAGGAAAACGTATAGAACAAGGAAACTAGGGTGAGACATCCCTTAAGTCTCGGATGATAAACGATACTGAGACTGCAGCAACTCACAAAGACTAGGATCCCGTGTCCATACCTACGTGCTGTGATATCTAGTGATTGAAGGTTGTGATCGTGATTGGACAGGGACATCAACCGGCCTCAATTGACATCTACTTTATCCTTATAAGTGTTCGTAAAATACTAGATTATTAATAAATTACGTGTATTAAAGGAAACTCCAAATAGATTTCTATTTCAATTAAATTATGTTAGAGCAAAAAAAAGAAAGAAAAAACTGGTGTTGATATTATTAATAAAGCGTTACTTACCCTATGCATATTACTCCTAATATAACTAAAATTTTGAAGAAGTACATTGTTATATTTGATTAAGAACACTTGTGATTAAGAATTTAACGTACAATATTATCACTTTTTACAAATGACTAAGGTCGAATTTACGTTTGTACTATAAAAACTGTCGATCACGACACATGTAATGCGCTTGAATATTCAAGGCGCACTAACCAAGACCGGCCCAGGCGCACAATGTAGTCTTACTAACTTAAGCACACCGCCACTATAAGCGATTGTCGTAATGAAAAATCTCGTTTCGATGTCGTCATCACGGCATCAGTGTCCGTCACCTCTATGCAAAACGTAGTTGACTCAAGTTATACCTGTTTAAACAAACTATGTATTTAGAACATTTTCATTCATACAACCTTAACAAAGGTACGATAATTATCAGTTAATCAAACATATTTTGTAAACGCTCTGCAATAATGTGTGTTATTTATTTTATCATTTTATGTTTACAAAGGTATATAAGATATGTTTACATGTCATGTTCATCACTAAATTATCTTCTATAAAGCTAATAGTAATGTCACCAAAAATTGTCTCACATGTACAACCTTAATACTTTTTCACAACTACCTTACTAATTGGTTGGCTCCTACGCTGATTGGTTATTATTTTTTGTCTACTGTTGTATTTTTTTTGTAAGTGATTTATGTACCTAATCTTTTGAGAAAAGTAATTGTTTGTGACTGGAAATTCGATTGTATTTTTGAATGGTATGTCGATCTAGAACCGACTAAAATCAAACGGTATTTCCTCACAAGTGAGTCCATGGCAGAGGACCCGGGCATCCTAACAAGAAAGTCACTGAAAACCCAGATCACGGTTTGCAGCCAGTGGTACAGTATGAAATCTGAACAAAATAATCAAGGCGTCAACTAGTTCTTAACTGTTTAGTAATTTTCTCTGTACTGCAATGAAACTATAATGCAGTGAGCATTATAGTTTCATTGCAGTACAGAGAAAATTACACTCACTTACATCACTTTCATTTCGCTGATTGTGTTTCAAATGTATATTCAATTTTCATTACCTGCACCTTTACATGCCTGGGCTTGCAAAATCTCGAAACCAAAATATCCTTTAAATGAGGCTGCTTCTAAACCATTAATTTTCTTGCAATATAGATTAAAATACGTAGCAGTCAACTAACCGTTGAAGGTTATTAGTTTACTAACCTCTACTAAAGCAAAAAGTTTTATTTTGATAATTATTTCTGTAAGGTGTCTTAAAAGATTATATAGATTGTCAGGACAGAACAAATAATTTGCTTTTCATAATAAATACCTTAAGGAAGTTAAAAGGTGAAGGAGGTGAAGTAAATTTTATGTTTCTATGTCCATAATTCTTCAACACCATAATCCCAAGAATGTAGGTGTATTCCTTCTTTACACACATATAAATTTCTGCAATTTCGCTTGTATCCACACCGAGAACGATCTTAGTGCCACCTGGTCAAAGCGTCAGGCAAATCAAAGGCGTGTAATCATTTTTTTGTTGATGGGGTGGAAGATTTTCGGATCTTCAGATCTCCGGCTCACAGGGGCCAGGAGTATATGGCATTTCCACTAAAAACCACCCTGACGACCAGCCTCAGGCGCCCTGGTCTGGGGAGGACCCGGACCATGTGATTTCAGGTCTCCCCTGGATCGACGCCACATTTAATTACGCTCTATCCCGAGGGAGGCAAAAGGAGTCCCCCACCTATCCCTAAATATTGCGAACTGATCTGAGTGCAATCCGGCCGCCACACATACACATAAGTTACATGCCTTACCGCAGTAATTAATCTACCACAAGATGTTCCCACTTTTTTGGGCCCGCGTTCTCGTCCTTTTCGCTTGAGATCGGTCCTTTCCCAATTCCGTTCAGCGGTCTCTTTCTGGAGCATTAGAGCTTTACAGATAGAGACCAGACCACGGCGCCCCATCCCTCCTCACCCGCCAGCATGGCAGCAATGATTACTCTCGTCCAATTTGGTTGACCATACGCTGGAGGACGTCCACACGAGACAGTCCTCCAGCGTATGCTGGACGAAGTCCAAGTCTCCTCGCATCCGATCCGATTTAAGTACTCACCGACGCAACCATGCCCAGTAAGTACCAGCGTCAGTCAAGCGTGTAATCCCTATTGATCGCTTTTATTCACGAACGATATTTATATGTTATGGAGTGTAAAAGGTTAATGTCGCTGGGAAGTGCGAGTCCCTTTTAAAAACTTTTTAAATGCGTACTCTCACTTCAAAGTCTGTCAACGCGCTTATGTTGCTTTAGTCACTGTGTCACATGTGTAGTCACTTTCCATCAGGTGATCTGTCGGTCTGTTCGTTTATTATTATTTATCAAATAAGCTAAATCTCTACTGCTATTGTGGTGCTCAAACCTAGGAAGACGTCTCAATTACAATGTTTAGTTTTCGTTTTTTTTTGGTTATCCATTACAATTTCTTGTGGTTTTACTTGACACAAGTGATCAATAAAGTGTAATCATTTTTACTTGATGTAGTGTGATTATTGTAATTTAAGCAATAATTAGGATAATTATACAAATAAATCATCTGCATAAACGATTTGGTAAACGATATTTGGAAAATGTATATATCATACATATATGTATATGTAGTTACTTCAATAATAAGTTTACATATATCCTTGAACTCAATATTTACTGCGAATAAATTAATGTGGAAGTACATGTTTCAACAATTTGCCTTAAGTCTGGTATTATGACCACAAATTAAAACAGTCGTTAGAAAATTAATACATTAATAACAGATTGTAACATGTCTCTTAACCTATCGGCATTTTCCTTTTTACCACTATTACCTAAGTTACGAGTACCTACTGGTACGCACGCATCTTATGTTTGAATTAAAGGTAATAAAATAAACATCAAGCCATTCTTTGTTTCGGTGCGTTTTGCTAAGAACAGTGGTTTCTGTTGTAAATAAGAGAGGGCTTGCATCAGCCTTATTCACATAACTGAGACAGTGATAGATTTCCTGTTATACACTTGCTAAAATTTCGGTGGTAAAACTTTGCAAGCTGTTAAGATGATAACAAAAGCTCGCGTGATGGAAATAATTAAGGGTACACACCATATTCCTAGAAAGAATTTTGTTCGCTAAATATGTTATGTGCTCGACGCCAAAGTAAAATCAAGTTACTTAACTGACTTATCGCCGTTTCCTTATATTATAACTTTTAAATGTGAATAAAAGAAATCGGTGGGCAATATTTTTATATTTTTTTATTGGTTTAAAAATAATATTTACAAAATCCAACCCGTCTGGCCAGCGTGGTATAGTAGGCCAAAACCTCCTTTCTAAGGAGAGGCCTATGTCCAGCAGTGGACTAATATAGGCTGTTGATGATGATGTGATTTACAAAAACAATAATGTAAGTCGTTTAAGAGTTCTCATGGAATTTTCTCGACAAATTTAGCGTCATTCGAGACGAGATAAAAGTGGTGGTGAACTGGAAGCGATAACACTAGATATTTTTCGTTTTATTCAGTACATAAATAAATAACATAAAAACTAGTAAAGCGAATTGTAATATACTTCGGTACCAAAAAAATATTACTTGAAGTTAACATGACACGTATCGAGCGTTGAGCAATTGATGCTGTAGTTGTCCCGTCACTCACGCGTCGCCACACTTTGGATTGTTCCGTTAAAAGAAAAAATCTTTGTTGCTTTTTAGTATTCATCAAAATTTTCCATTCATTTTCTTTCTTTTTGATAGTTGCTTAAGAAAGTAATTATGCCAGAGTTTAACAAATTTAACAGCAAAACACGCTGTTACAAAAAAAAACAAATTTATTGCTAAATTATTACAAAAAACCTGTAATCAATAGTTATAAATACGAACTATAAAATATGATTTACATAAGTAACTTCATCATCATCGTCATCAGCCTATCGCAGTCCACTGCTGGACATAGGCCTCTCCCATTGCACGCCACTTAGATCGATTTTGGGCTTCTCGCATCCAGCTCCTGCATGCCATCTTGCGCAAATCGTCACTCCACCTGGCCTGTGGACGTCCTACACTACGTTTGCCGAGACGCGGTCTCCACTCAAGAACTCGTTTTCCCTAACGGTTGTCGGTTCTGCGGCTAATATGGCCAGCCCACTGCCACTTCAGCTTGCTGATGCGGTAGGCTATGTCGGTGACCTTGGTGCTCTGCCGGATCACCTCATTTCTGATGCGATCCCTTAGAGAAACGCCGAGCATAGCCCTTTCCATAGCACGTTGAGCGACTTTGAACTTGTGGACCAGCCGTACCGTAAGTGTCCACGTTTCAGCTCCATATGTCATGACGGGTAGGACGCACTCATTAAAGACTTTCGTCTTAAGGCACTGTGGGATCGACGATGAGAAGACTCGACGTAGCTTCCCAAACGCTGCCAAACCCAACCGAATTCTTCTGTTCACCTCGTCCTCGAAGTTGTTTCTACCTAACTGCAATGTCTGCCCGAGGTACACATAATTTTGAACAACTTCGAGAACGGCTCCGTGTACCGCAATCGGTTCCGGTAGTACATGTTCGTTGAACATGACCTTGGTTTTATACAAGTTCATCCGTAGGCCAACGCGTACAGAAGTGTCAGCTAGGTCATTCAGCATTTGCTGTAGGTCCTGCAACGTCTCTGCCATGATGACGATGTCGTCTGCAAATCGCAAGTGAGAGATGTATTCGCCATTGATATTGATGCCACGCCCTTGAACATGTCCTCCATTGCATTTGTGAACAATTTCGGGGAAATAACGTCCCCTTGTCTCACTCTTAGATGCAATGGTACGGGCCTTCTTTACAGATTCTGTACATGGACGGACATGGTGGCGGCTTCGTAGAGACATCTCATCACTTGGATGTATCGCCAATCTACTTGGCAACGCTGCAGGGACTCCAGAACAGACCAGATCTCGATTGAGTCAAAGGCTTTCTCATAGTCCACGAATGCTAGACACAGGGGCTGATTATATTCTTCGGGAAGTAACTTCAAATGA